ACACCCAAATACATGAACAAAACCTACAACCCTCCGAAATCTGTAGAAGAACGATGAGAAATAAACAATTCACGTTCCCGTGCTTTGGTCATCACGAGACAGCAAGAGTCCGAATGAACGCTTGAAGTTGAATATGAACTCGGAGCTCAACGTAGGCCTGTGAAAGTGCACTTTTGGTTGATTTCCCATGTTTTGACAAAATAACAGCAAATACAACTGGCTATAATACTTATAAGACTCCCTTTGCTATCGAGAAATTAGGTTCCTGCTCATGAATGGCCAAGATACTTGGTTTGCTGACTACGTTGAAAAGATATCCTTATGAAATTTTGTGCCTAATCAGGGCAGCATTTTGATCGTATTTTGTGTCTCATAGGTAACTCACATTGTCAAGATATTTGTCATTTTGGTGTCACTGTCAGAGTACTGCAGGTGTCAGCTGGCGTTTGTTTCTTTGAATTTATTTACACTGTGCTTCCCTATAAACAAGCCGATGGATATTTGCAATGCACTATTAATAAGGTTTCTGGGAATTCGTCGACAGCCCACGACCGGTTTCACCCTCCTTGGGGCTCACCAGGTAGGTAGTTTCCGTTAATTTATGTTCTACTTGGAACCAAATGGCACGAAATTAGCGAAACACATTCATCTGTAAAATAATTTGGTTTTTCGAGAGATTCAGCTGGGTTCCAGGTGAGTCCCTCGAAAAACCAAATTGGTTTGCAAGTGAGTGTATTTCGCTAAAGGTGATGGATAGTTCGCCTATCTAGCTATTGGTAACGGGGTGTTGTGTGGGAAGCATTGCTGATGTCTGCGGTGGGGTGTACATTTATGCCATGTTAAGATCAGCTGACGAGCAGTAAGGCTAAAGCGAGTGGGATCTGTGTGTCACTGGACAGTCACAAACAGTGAGCATGGGACCGAATATGGCATGCGCAACCTTTTAACACCGGGCGGGGGATCAGATGGATAAATAAACCACCTGAACCTGATTGCAAGTCATTGTAGAATAGTGAATGACTCTTGGACGAGAGACAGCGATAGCAGATGTCCAGTGTGAGAGTGTTGTTAAGGGGACTTGCTGAGATTGAAAGTTGCTAGCAAAAGTTGATTATCACGAAATTTTGCGCTTGCATTTCTTCATCTGGCCAAATACGACAAATACCGGTATTTTTTCGAAGTTGACACTGCTCGTCCTAGTAACCGCGGCCGGTTCAAAGACCTAATGATTTTCTCAGGTAAGTTACTCACGTTCTATATTTGCCCATAAAAGTCAATACAGCCGTAAGACACTTTCACACAAAAACTGACGTGGCTTTTGCTTGGTTAACTATAGTCTTCACCACTTAGTTCCACCGCTTATCGCAGTGCCCCAAGTTTTTCTAGAAGGAAGGGCTTGAGTTATGCCTAAGGATCGCTCATTTCCATTCCGTACTTTTACTTTCAAGACTCCCAGCAGCAATTCCACAATTGATATCAGTTTTCATGTTCCAAAATTATAGCAAAGTTTTTTGTACCTCAAGAGGAAGGTGTGGCACTACAAGAATTCTAGAAGGTTACTTTCAGAGTTATGGAGATTTTCACAATTGTTTTCGGACTTTTCTTGCGTATCTTACAGAATAGACTTTTGAACATGAGTTCCCGTCTCATCACCACAAGTGTGGATCAAAGAGATTTGGTTTTCATTGTTGAAAAATATCAGGAGTCGGTATATGAATCCTCAATCTTCTATTTGTGCACTCTTGCATTGTTCATCTCATTACCCTTAGTCCACGCCGGCAAACATCGAAGCTTTTCCCATTAGGTGCAGTTGAATTTCATATCAGCATGATGCCGCACTTGGCAAGATGGAAATTACCACCTCTAATTTATCATGACGTCTTTCATGCATGAGGTTTATTACTTCCCATGTATACGGGTCATGTTTTGGTGATTGAAAGATTGGGTTAGCTGGGTATGATTGGATTTAGGTCTGAAGAGCAGATGTGTGTTGATGCGAGTCTTGCCCGTGTCATAGATTTTGGTCGCGTGCACACATGTTTTACTTGGTCGTGGGGCTTGATGAAACCTGGTTAGTCGATTGTCAAGGGTACCCGGATATTTCAAGGTTTAGAGGTCATCACGCCAATCACTTGACTAGGTAAGCGGGTGGTTGAACGGGGGCAACCACGTGGAGACTGTTGCAAAGATCCGTGTGACTGATTAGATTCAGGTCCACCACTTTCTACGGTTGCACACACTATGGACGCTGTGATTGAACTACCATACACCCATCAAAACCATCACACGGAAACTGGCTGTTTCCAAGGCTCTGTCCACGCTATCCTACAGGATTGGAAAGAGCCGTTAAAAACAGTTTGTGGGAAAAGTAGCCTGAGCTAACCAGGGTTCGGATCTTAGTCGTAAATAATGTAAGACGTAGGAGATCATTCCATGTGTTAGATAGCCTGACCAGATAGAAAATAGTGTTTTAAAGAACGACTTCTTGATTATCATTCCATGGGATTGGTTGACACGGTTCATGAAATATCTGGTCCGATTTTTTCTCGTCGGTTTTCTGGTCTTTGTGACTTTTCCAGAAATTATTGAGCATTCACCATGCTGGAGTGAAGAGGACATGTTAGATGTAAGTTCCAAGTTCCACATTCTTAACATTCACAATAGTATGCTTAAAAAACATCCATATGTAGCCAAAATACAGGTGACTGAAATTCGATTTGGCGAATGTTTCTGAGGTAATTGAAACGCAAGAGTTAATTTACTGGATCAAACGGTAATGTCGCCCTATCCTTCTACAGAGATAGCTAAAAACTCTGGTGAACTTTCAGTACATTTGGATTCATTCGCTTTTTTGGGTAGTTGCGTTGACCGAACTCATAAGGACGCATGCATCAGGAGTCGTTGCTATGCACCTTCAGGAGAGTTTTACACATTCATCCTATAATCATCATCATCATCATCGACAGCATGACATCAGTGTTCAACACCGATGCTTCACTGCCATAATTCAATCATCCTATAAGTGGAGTCATTATATTCTATAAAGTCGACAAGAGCATTTCAGCTGGTTGACTCCTTATTGATTATGCTATCCTGGGGAGAGCTGACGATATAATTCCGCCAACCAATGATGCGTCTACGGATGTATTCAGTTACTCAACCCAAACTCATTTTCCAACATTCACATCGAGCTGCCTGCATTGTGTCATCATACTGAACCTCGATTCGCTTTGTCGATGGTTAAGTTTCGGGTCGCCAAGTCACAAGGAATTCTAAAGTTAGCGTTACTCTAATGTAGATGACTGTCAGAATAGCTAGGAAAGTGATGAGCCCATGGTAAGCCGAATTTCTAATCAAATTTTAATTTCATCTTCTTCGAGCTTCCAAACTTTCTCAGTTTGGTTTGAGTGTGAAAAAGCAAGAACATTTTTTATTGATGTCGGTAAAGACCGCGTTTGAGATTAAGCACACATGCTGACGATGTTTGGGACAGGAGTGTGCACACCTGGTCAGAAAATCAACATCTCCTGCCTCCATGCACCAGAATTCGAAGCCCTTATTTGCCTAATTTGCTACATGCATTCAACTTGAAAAGCATTCTTTACAAAAATATGGAGCATTTTGCGGTTGGAAATTCTTTGAAAATCATGCCATGAACATGCTCACCATCTACGTCTAAAAGCTATTATAGCTCAGACTGTCCCCTTTTATGGTTTTGTGTATTTTTTCGGTTTTTGTGTGTCTTCAAGGCCGGTTAGGACATCAGTGACATGGAAACATGTGCACGCACATTAGTCATTCATTTACAAGAGGAAGTACGAGAAATATGATTAAAGTACTCAGGTAGCACATGCAGTAGCTGGACCGTGAGTGTGGCAGTTTGTGGTGAGTATGGGATAAAAATTAGGTGAGATGTGGAATGATAAAGGGTAGACAGGCTACGAAAATGCGTCGTTCGTATTCGCGCATTCCTCACGCCACCAAAATGGAGCTGGTAGACTTTACTTTGTTGGGGCTCATGAGCGTAGTTGTGGCAAACTGCTAACAGAAGAAATGCCTTTAGAAAACTTTCAAGAACAACGGCGCTCACCAAAATTCCCATAAGGGGTATGATGTCAACTGTTTTCGGAACGAAACTAAGTCTCTCTGAGGACGTCGGGCTTGGCAGTACTCTATGTAGGGATGCAAAAATCCAGGATTGGGCCACTTGGCTCGGCTGTTTTATGCGTTTATTTTCTAGGCTAATGTTTCCGGAAGGACTAGCTCATACATATTTCAGACCTTACGAATTGGAATAGCATGGTTAATACTTTCCACCTTCAGGATTTAGCTCGCTGTTGTTTCCGCTTTGACCACTGATCTAAACCTAACGGGACCTTCCCAACAAAAGCAGTAGAAAAATAAACAGAATGTTTCGACGTCCCTGTGATCCAAAGAACGTTCAGTAATTGTTTAAAAGCGCTTAATTAAGCGCTTTGTCCTCTATGGCGGAAAATTCAGAAGAGCTGTTCAGCTGTCTTCCAATATCTGGGATTATCAGTTGTGCACATCTCACTATCCTCCGCAAGGTCGCTGAGATCAAAATTTTCCCTACGAGTACAAATATAACCCATTTTCTTTGAGGACGGGTTACTCAACAAGATGGTTATCCTGGAAGGCCCGTGTGACATGTGAGGTGCTTCTTCCTTTGGGCCGATTAGCTGGGTTATTTACGTTTCTTGCCGAAACGTAAAAACCACGCTTCCTCCTTGTAGATAATAATCTTAGGATGGAAGGTGGGTAGTTTAGTACGAATTTTAAGTATGTTGAAAACATGTCGGTGCTTGTAATAGTTCAACCTGTCATTTCAACCAGACTGTTTGCAATTATACCGAAAAAGACGAATTTCTGACAGTTCTTGAAGACTATTAGTGATAACTTATTTAAAGGTGTGATGGACAAATACTAACCACTCTCACAATTCACAGCAACCTTATGAGTAGTGCATTACAAATATATACATGTATCGCGATATCTCGAATGTCGTAGTGACTGAAAAATCAGGCGGCCTGGTGCAGCACATTCAGTTGCCTGGAAACATCACAAACGAGAGATTCAGCTGGGTTCCAGGTGAGTCTCTCGTAAAACCACCCACACTAAACATCAAGCCCTTTTCAACATTGATCTAGTTGGCTAACCGAAACAGATCTTGCTAATTGGTTCTCGGTCTGCCTCAAACTAAACTGACAAACTACTCACTCGAACCCGGCTATAAACTCACCGACTGCTTACCAAAAATTCTGAAACGATTATTTCTCATCTTCAAATTTCACCAAAGTTTTTTAAGCTTCTTGCTGCTTCCTAAGAGTGTAAAATCGGCTGAAAGTGGCATGACTGGTAACTGAAAGATATCAAATTTATTTAATTATTCATTTTGTCACTTGGAGTACTATTGTGGTTGTTTATCGGTGTTGTCGTGTGGGGCCATGACCAATTAATATGGACAATTCGAATTAGCTTCTTATAGAAACTCTAGCCAGACAGACCAAGCTTTTCAGCTTGTCAGTTCACCAGGCCAGGATGATGGCCAACGTGGACACAGCCCTGACAACACCACAATAGACCGGAAGGAGCAAAACCGTCAACATCACTTTGGATCTGATAGGAGGTGATAGCTTTTCCTGTCTAAGCTTCCAGTTGTCCAAAGGTTTGTCCAGCAATATTTAATTAGAAAGGTAGACCGATAGGCTCGGCGCTCGTCTGAGTTAGGTATCTGTATGCAAAAATTTCAAGGCCAGTGGAAAAGCTGTAATCTAGTTTTGAACAGTGTGTAAATCAGCTGTTTAAGTCTGCTGAAACATGGATGATGTCAACTTTAGTAAAGGCGTCTAAAGACATTCGGAAGTCATGCTTGACCGGTAAATTCAGTGAAGTTTAGATCGGTAGTTGTTCAGATGGCTGTTAACCTGTTCACGAAACTTGGTAACTAGATTGGTGAGGAAGTTTTTCGAACTGAGTGCCAACTTGGACAAAAAGATCAACAAAGCACTTCGTCAGCAACTGATAAAGCACCCCTGCCATCAATGTATTTAGACATATTTCCAGCATCCCCCCCCCCTGGAAGGAGGGTGATCATCTTGTCACACGATATGATGACACGGCAAACAGTCCTGTTAAAAGTGTCGTTATGTCTGTTGGAACAGTTATTCAGAAGAAAAGTTCATAATATCAGCCACTACCAGAAAACAAGCCCTCCGATTTCCGACAAAGTTGGCGTAGATCAAACGGAAAGCCCCGTTTTTTAAACTCGGTACCCACCGGCGAAACTGTCTCAAGGGAGAGTAAATAGGAGGTGGATTAGGGAAATGTGAATTGCGCATGTACATTTTAATTGCCTCCACTAAGGTAGCCGTTTGACTCAGTTGGGTGCCAAGCACTCTGAAGCAACAGTAGGTTTATCAATTGTGATGTCGCCTGATTAAGGTCACGTGCACATCTATTGTTTTTTAGTGACTCATATCAAATGAATCTTGAATTCTGTTTAGACATAATACACTATTCATAAGGTTGTTGAAAATTCTTCGACAGCTCACGACCCTTCTTGAGGCTCACCAACCTTGTGTACTACTTGAACCCAAAACTGCACGAAATTAGCGAAGTACACTCAGTTGCGAACAAATTTGGTCTCTCGCAAAACCAAATTTGTTTGCAAGTGAGTGTATTTCGTTCGATTCTGTTTCTTTATTCTTGATTCACTTGCCTGTATGTGGAATTCTTAGACGGGATCACGGAACCATTCAGTGTTAACAGCTTGTGATAAGTTAGTTTCAAGGTAGACTCAAGTTTAGAATTATCTTACAGTGGTGGTGCTACAAAATATGTGCAACCCGGATGAGCTTGGGTAGATGCCAGATCGTTTGTTATGCTCGGCACAGACCTCTGTTTTTCAGTCGAGGAGATATCATCATTGACTTTGCCGGGAATCACCAAATGTGAATCGGGCGTTGGCGATGCCTCCTAGAGTGGTGAAAAAACATTTGCAATGTGGTTCCTAAGCTAAAATAAAAAATAAATAATAATCGTTCAGCTGTAGCGCCCTTTCGGTGCCTAGCCGCCATGCCACCCGAAGGAAGCACGAGGGCTGGGATACTGTCAGGTTGCCCAAGCCTAGACAGGGGAAGTCCAGTGGCGAAGTTCCTAAGCTAACCAACCAACCCGCTAATCAAAAGCCTTCTATTCTGGTTCAGTGTGTAGGAGAGTGACACTTCTGCAAATTTCAAGTGTAAATAGACCACGGTCCTCGTAAAACCGGTTGGCGGATTCCGGTGTTGTCAAGGTTTGCCCAGTACAACTAAGCACAATAAAGCTGTTTACACGGACCTGCAGAAATCCTGAAAGTCAGGTTATGATATAAGGCTATTTCAGTTTGACTCATTAAGCGTAGATAGTGAAGCGCTGTGTTGTAACGCAAAATCGGAAAACGTGTGTGACACCCTACGGTGAGTTGATTTGGACTCAAGCATCTCAACGCTTTCAGTTTCCGCTCCCATTTTTATCGGCCTAGGTATCAGAAAATAACGTAACTAACAATCCTAATGTATTCAATCATTTGTATTTCTTAAAAAAGGAGATTTGGTTTGCTGAGTAACCAAATCAACAGATCAACATTAGTCCATTTCAGCGCAGGATAGCTTCTAGAATTTCCTTGTCAATTTTCTCGGTATTTCCCCCTGGGATACACATAAAAGGATTTGATTGGATTTTACCTCAAAGAACCGATTGTGTAATCAGATTTACGAGCAAGTGGGCAGAGTGTTTTGTCCCACTAAAAGAAATCAAATTGCACATGCACGCAAATGGGTCCTTTGATCTTTGCTCCTCAGCCAAATGTTTCTACCAGGCGTACTTTACGCGAAAATCTATTGTCTATCAACATTTACCCACACGTAAAAAAGGGTCCTTTTAGCCTCTGAAATCAGATTGTGGTAGTCTTAAACCAGATTTGTCAAAATACGAACCATTCATCCGTTGGGTTCCGTGCAATACAATCCTAAGCGTAAATAACTTCCATCCGAAACGCCCAAAAGAAATTGCCGATTGTAATAGTTCTTAGTTATTTACAGTGCGTGTATACGGGATTCAACGATTATAAATTTTTCAGCTAAGTCTGTTCGCGATGAGCATTTCATGAGACTCCTATTACGGTGAAGGAAAAGTCACATCTTATGTACTGCATCATGCTCACTTGTGGGCAAAACAGCCTCCACACAGGCCTCATTTGTAACCTTGACCTGATCAAACGCTGAATGGATGAAAGGGGCCGACCGAAGTTTGTTCATTCAGAACAACATACGATATTCAAGTTATCACTGAAAGCAACCTTCTATTTACCTATTCTGTGAAATATCAGTATATGTATCTGGCTCACTGTTTTTTCGAAACTATTTGTCACTCCCCAAAAATACCAGGGTTTCAACTCTCAAGAAGTCAATAGGGGGCAGACGAGTAATTGCGAGCGTATACATTGACCATCCCTGCAGGTGTGGTGCATATTTTGATATAGATGCAAGCCTGTGAACCAGTAACCGCCAATCGGGAAGACGAGTGTTTTTTATACAGACCCACTGGCTATCCAGAGGGAAGAAGCACTAACGAGTGTCCACAAAGAGGCACCGAATTCGGAAACTCTATCGCTGACATGCACCATGACAAACGCTCTTACGGCAGCTAAATGTACGTGGAAATTCCAGCGTAAATAAAGGAATAGGTTGAAAACACACTGCAACGTTCCGGTAAGCAGTAAGTCCCAGAGATATACTTGACACGTATTCGGATTATGGGATCCAACTAACAAAGTTGACAAACAAGAAACGGGACAACAATTATTGTTAAGTGGGTGAGTATCCTTTAGTCTCTTTGGAGATGGCCCAACCACGTAATTGCATCTCTAGTACAAGGGTTTAAAATGAAAAATATACCAAAAAATCACGTACCCAGAGAAAAATTCACCTAGAGGGGTGTGTTTTCCAGGACCTGGATGACTAGGTCTGTATCCACGGTTAAGTCATAATCCAGGGTTAACCTTGAAGTAATCTGAGAAATGGCTTTGTTTGACGTCATTAGACGTGGCTTAACTAAAGGTCCATCAGTCAAGCAGCGGTTGAATACCAACCATGGTTGACTTTGCGTGTGCCTGATGATTCGGATGTGACTAGGACCAACTTGTGTTCGGAATTTTAAAATGAAAACAGATGTTTCGAATGAAGCCTTGGTTTTTAGTAAAAAGGTGTGACGATGGTAGTTCGTAAGAGGGAGTGACTTCATTGCTTGAAAGCACAGCACTGACACAGAAGCTTCCACTAGATAGGGGATTAAGCTGAATTAACTGCGCACCTGTTAAGCGCATAATAACTTATCCTGTTGTCAACAACATAACATAGGACAGCTCCAGTGGACAACTGATTAGACGTGACTACTCTGGGAGTTGCATTGATTGTGCTTCTTCAGTATTGTGGATTGTTTTGGTTCCATACGAAGACTTTATTAATATATCCTGTCACGTCTACTCTGAATACTGTTGTAAAATAGTGAACGAAATGGGCTGCAATCACTAGGAACGTTATTTACTCAGCTGATTCTGTAGTTACAGAATCCAGGAACCTATCATACACTAAAGCTTAGGTCCAAAGATCCTGAACGACATTTATAAGCTGAAGGCGTTTATAAACTGCCCGAATCTGATCTCGGATCCATTCAAAGGCGGAAAATGCTGCATTTCAAACATTCCTTAGATTCAGAGTAGCTCGGTGAACAGTCGAACAGCATAAGGTTGCAATATAATCTCAGCCTCGTCATTCTTGTAGTCTAGTGATCTTGTTTGCAACCACAGGCATATTCTTATCCATTATGTGGGATCACATTTTAGAGCCCTGGATTACTAGCGAGGTTTTCTCCCAACGCATCAAATCTACTTCAATTCGTTTTCTGCCCTTGTTCCACAGCATTGGAACATACTACTAGTTTAGGTTGATAGTACATATCAGTCATTCACTCCATGTCATTCAAGCCCAGTTATAAAGGACAGGATGATAAATAATTTGCTCCGCTGTTTAATACACTATAACGCCTAATTACATGATTCAGTGGTCGTCGTTCGCTTTACAGTAAGTAGTGAATGAACATGTACTTATGGTGGCGCTGAAAGAAAACGTCGCTGTTTTACTGCTTCATCCAACTACACTCTGCTACCTTTACCACTGAAAATCATGTTTGAAACGATTCGAAACACTTGCGAGGAAGCTAACGAACCTCTTAATTGTTATGACGACGAACGCAACTTTGCTTCCAATTTTTATATCGAGAGAAAGCTGCAACTGCCATTTAAACGAAGCTCACAGACAAGCTTATGTGGTGGATGGAGCATCGCATTCTGTTAAAAATAAGATGTAATTAGTTCTGAAGCGGTGAACTGGTAGACACGCAAGCACACAACCTGCAACCTTCAGTTGATGTACATACATATGGCGGTTTGTTCATTCGCATTCAAGTGATGGCCCGATAACTGAACTATGCCTGGTGAATACCCGTGGGACGTTGAAACAACATCACAGACCTTCAAACATCGGTTTTTATTCGATTGGAAAGAAAATCGGTTTGGGAGTTGTTGTTCTGGTGGTGGTGCTGAAATGCCATGCCAAAAAGATGATTTGAGTAAGTCGATCCACCGATTGAGGTTATCTTATCCGTGCAGACTTAACTGATACACACACAGTGGAAACCGATTGGCGGAAAGGAGACAGAGTCGAGATAGAAGTAGGGGGTGTGTGACCGATGATTTGGCTGAGGACGACGGACTATGAAAATGGGGGAAGGGAGCCGGTGTTGTTTCAACAGTTTCTTTAATGACTTAAAACTCATCATTCGATTTATGAGGCACGGAGTCGAGTGCTTCTGGTGAGTTTGTTCGTCAACGTTGTTGAAATAAAATAACGCTAACTGATGGATTAACAGATAAGAGACGATTATATGTGTTATAAAGTTAAATAAGGACTACAGATGCTTGTAAAACAGATTGGTTGGCTCGAGTACCAGCAATAAAACTTCCGATAGTTAATGGTTGATTACGGTAGCTTTTAAATTGCATTACACCATATAACAGCGCGTGCGCAAAGCGAAAGCACGCTTGGATTTTGCCGTGAGTGGAGATGGCTTTGGTAACTAATAAAACTCCAAGCATGTTATAGTTTATCAGGATAGACTAGATGAAATTTGTTTACCCTGAGAGCTGGTTCTACAGGCTGAGTTATAAAAGAAAAAAGTATTTTTGGCGGAGTTTTGGCTAATATTTTCAGTAATCCTTTCTCTGTGAGTGATAAGCGCTGTGTAGTACTACACAAAATAGAAAGTCTGTCGAAGAATAAAACCGGACAACGACTACTCAGCAGTTCTCATCAACCTGAGAAACAGGGTAACACTTGTACAGAACATTTGGTATATGATTGGTATAAACGAGAAATTCGGCTGTTACAACGATAAAGATGAGGTTCACGCCTGTCTATCAATGGGCTTTCGACAATTCTGTACACTATGTTTTGTCAAGTAAAACAGTTGCAGGTCCTAAACCATGTGACTATGACACCAGTCTCAGTTTTTCCTCTCTTTCAGTTTACCCTTAAATGCCATCTTAACAGCACTCACATCCACGTCTTGCCGTAGATGATGGCGTGGGATATCAATGCCTGGAGGGTATTCCTACTCCAGTGAAAATTACCCTCGATCAACGCCCACCAACTCTGCAACTTGGTGACTTTGTGCCTCGAAGATGTGTCTGATTTTGAAAGTTTTGGCTACAAGAAGCCAAAAGGTCGCTCACGATTAAAGGATTCGGAAATCTGAATATGCACTTTGAGACAAACATCTGTGATGTAGCAGGTGTAACTGACTCATATTCATATACAGGTACCTAATCTGTTGTTTAATATTGCAGCGCATTATTCACGCCTTCCTATACCTGGGTGACAAGATGGCACCACTGCTCGTAAATTTCCGTCAGTGAGCTCAAGACATGGTGCCTTTTGTACCGTGCTTTTGTGGTGTCCTGTAAACCCGTTGTAAACACTGTGCATCGGTTCTCAAAATAGCCCTGATTAATCCAAGCTTTAAAATGAATGATATTGGAGTGAATCAGAAACAACAGAATATACAATTCGACTGGCAGCTGGTCTCACCTCTGTTGCAGTCCATCTGTCGAGTCAACCCAAAAGAACGCGCAAAATAATCGTTTAACCTCATGATGGAAGGACACCGGAGTGACGAAATTAGATACATCAAAACGCCAGATTACACGTGAGGTGAGCAGAGCTAGTGAAGTTTGGGTTCTTCCATGGATAAACATGTTGCTGCAAAACCTGGTCTGTAGTTCCAGTTATGGAACTGTCTCTTCAAGATGCTCAAGTACAACACAGGCTTGGAGATTTCTCCAGGAGTTTTCGTCTTGACGATCGCCTCACCTAACGTCGCTCTTTTTAGGGTAGTGTGCCTCAAAACCACACCACAGAACTTCATTAAATCCTAGCCTCAGAAGGAAAGTCTCAATACTTTTCAGATTCCCGAATTAGACTCCAACAAGTTCTGACTGGAGAACACAGGTAGAGCTGTGGCAGAGTTTTTTGCCATCATCGGTCCGTGAACTCTATAAAGCTGACTCGAACGCACCAGCACTTATTCTCAAACCAGTTAAAACCACACGCGATGAAATTTGGAAATTAGATACAATTTTCCTGTCACCTGAGCGGGTTGGGGCACGGGGCTACAAACTGCACAAAAACGAAACGTCACGTCCAAATTGTTACCGTTTCAGTGTAGTAAAATTCGCTTTTATCGGGCAGGATATTGCTAATTCTACCAGAACGACGCACGTCTAGAGTACGTGTGCGTCTCTACACACGTATGTACCTTGCCGTAATCCTTACCTATTGCCTTTCTTCACAATTCACCAGCCAACATCCATTAGGTTTGGGAGCCCCGAATAAGGTTTCAGTGGCTTTACCAAAGTTTTTTCGTCCCATCAAGTTGTCCCAGCTTTCCGTAGATATTCTGCAAGTTTTACATCTCGCGGCTGAATAGCATAAAACAATTGTGACATCTTTTTGTCCAAACAATATACATAAATGAATCTTGAGACACTCTATGATATGGAAATACATTATATCGATCTATTCAAAGAAATACTTGCTGCCTGAGCACATGACTCCCAAATCTAGAGTACCGTCATCGGAGTACTGATTTTCGTGAAGTGCCACCCCACAGTGGTGCTCCTTCTCCACGATGTGACAAACTAGAAGTAAGCGGTTTATCTGCTCGAGTAACCACGTTGTCTGCAGTCGCTCCTTCGTTATGCAGGTTAGATAAACCGAAAAGTTTGTATATTCCTCCAGTATACCTTTGGAAAGACTAATTATCTCCCAAGAAAATTATTTTTTGCAGATATTCTGAACTCTACTTAACATGGCCTTTTGGTCGGCGTGTCTTTTAAGTGCTTTCTTTTCAGTTAACAAGGTCAATCAAATGTCAGATTATTGGCCTACTGACAGTATTCTCAAGTGTTCGTTGATTTTGCAAACGACGCTTCGCTACAAGACGTTGGTGGTTCCCATTTTAGGTGAGGGAATGGTCGAGAAAAGACGTTTATTTTGGCGACACTACTGAGTTAGCGAATATACACTCATCTGTAAACTAATTTGGTTCATTCGAGAGACTCACCTGGAACCCAGCTGAATCTCTCGTTTATGATGTTCTCAGGCAACTGAATGTGCTGCACCAGGCCGCCTCATGTTTCAGTCGCTACGATATTTGAACTATCGCGATACATGTATATTTGTAATGTACTACTCATAAGGTTGCTGAAAATCCATCGACAGCCCACGACCGGTCGTGGCTGTCGATGGATTTTCAGCAACCTTTTGAGTAGTACATTACAAATATACACTACTGAGTTCTTTTCAGTGGAAAAATGGTGATTTTCCCCAGAGAGTTGGCCAGATGACCAGGTTGTGCGTATATGTAGCATAAACCATTCCAAAGTACATTATGAACAGGGGGAATCCTCAAGTGGTACCGAGTTAAATCAACCTATTCATCAGAACCTCTTGAGATTTGCCAACCCCCAGTGCGATGATAACTATTGCCAAAAGATTTATGAACTTATCTTTCGCATGTTTGACGTTCAATTATGTGCAAAACGTGGTTGACGGCACTTAGATTGACAGTGGATGGATGGCATGGAAAAATGGGCATAGAAAGCACTCTTCATACTGTTACCTCAAGTGTTCCATGAAAGTACTGATCATTTTCCCCATGTAGAAATTTAGAGAATCCTCTTCAGCAGCTACCACTCAATGTACCGAAAACAAACCAGACGGGAAGCGAACCTCAATAGGGGCGGAGAATAAGTCTCCCGGGGCGTCGGCACTTCAATCGACCCACACGAGATGTAAACACATGGTTGCATTAGGTTGGTTAGTAACAATTCCTGTGCATAAACTTGATTGATACCAAAATTCCACACTGATGCGCGTAGTCATATTGTTATCCTGCTCAAAAACGTGCCACAGTTTCCATAGACAACATTTTTCAGGATTAACTAGCAATGAAAAGCCAATGTTGCTTCATGCACTGTTAACCGCGCGGTTCAGCCTCACTGCACACTAATCAGTGTACCGATAAATCCATGTTTCACTGGACAACTGCGCGAACACTGGAGATGTCATAGTGGAGCGAAGTAGGACATTGGACTTGATGATGAGTGGGTACAAATTCGTTTACACAGACCATGCAGTTTTGTTGTTTGTGCATGTCTAACTCAACTGCTAGGTAAAGACAAGCCTGTTCAGTGGTTTTGAGCAGAATAGGCAATACAATGTTGTGTTTTCTGTTCCATGCACGCACACGGGTCGCCGAAATCCAGTCACAGAAGTAGAAGATCACCCGTGCATGACTGTCAAACTTTGTTACACTACATACACTCCCCGACTACTAGCTGGGGTTCGTGAATCTCAGTGATAACGATTCCTTCTGTATATGAATGTAAGGAAGTCCACGATGATAAATCAATTTGTGTTGCCGTTTGGCTTTCCGTTCTAGGGAACATTTTCGCTCACACAAGACGACTATCAAACCCTTTAATGTAGACAATGAGAGTGTAGTAATCACTTCAAATATGTAACTAACTGGGTTAGGAGGCTTTGTTGTCCTTTGGTAACCTTTAAAACTACAAGCGATTTCCTATACGGCTTTTAATACTGCTTTCGTAAAATAAATTGGTAGAACTTAAATGTTAAACGCACCTTTCAAAAAGGTAACGTGATTCATATGTAGTATAATATGGTGTGTTGATGTAAATATACGCGTTCGAAAAAACGAGGTGGAAGCTGGATTGGCCTCACCACAGGGTTGGACGCGCTAATTCCGTTATTCGAAATACGTTGAGCTCTATTTATAGTTTGTTGGCTACCCAACGTTACTTTAATTCATTCATGTTGAGTCAAAAAAGCAACGAGATAGAACAATCTTTTGTTTTCTAATCTTGTGTCTTTTTCGTGCCCGCATAGCAAAAAATATCATAACTTCAGGCAGGACGAACATTTAGCTCAGTTCGGAATAGCAACTGAATCAGTCAAGTATGTATGAGATTCTTAACTTCTTTATAATGCAGGTCGTACGTTGGAATATGTATATGAAACTTTCCACAGGAAAAAAGTTCCTCACGCCGACAAGGTCTCCAACTAATGGTCTGTTTGTCGTGGGTATTTGTCAACGAGTTCACAAAAGTCTTTTCCAAGGCGATACGATCATCTGGATAGCCCTGTGTTCCCTGCACGCTTCCAGGTTTTGTAGGTTTGTAATAAAACGATGAGCTGACATGTGTGCATGTTGTGTTGCCCTGGAGAGGAGGACGATCAAAAACTGCCATTCTCAGTGGTCTTTAGAATCTTGCTTAGCTCCTTTTCGTTTACAGTCGCCAAAATTCTTCGGTATAGTCTACCAATGCGGATAATGTGCGCAAGAAACAAAGGCAATATACCAATCACTCGCAATAAGAAACGGAATTTACAACAGAAAGTGAGGCTTCAACAAGGTGGTGAAACGAAAGCACCTAAATGCCAGTAATATACGGATCCATTGCTATTTTACCTTCTACACACTTTTCCAAAGTGAGGCTTATAAAGCAATAACATACCGCTACATAAATGGAGATCTGTTAGACCACCTGCACAGCTTTTTTTGAGGAAACACAACTAGTCTTAATTTGAAGCAGCGCGTTACACATAAGGTTCGTGAAAACTTTTCGACAGCCTACTACCAGTTTCGCCCTTCCCGAAGCTCATCAGGTATGCGCACTCCCCAAATTTCCATCAAATCTTGGTTCTAATTGAACGCAAGCGGCAAAACAGAAATTATTTGAAAATTGCTTTGGAGTTAAGAGAAAATAGAATTTATCGTTTGTTTTATTCGCCAAGGTGAGTGAAATCAGCCATAGACTTCAACAATTTTTGAGCGACCCGATGAGCATAGTCTTGGCTCAAGTATATCTTGAATATCTTGTCGACTGAACTAATTAGGCCACCTTGGTGTAACGCATTAAATCGAGTAATGTCATGAATGACAGACTCACTTAGGCCCCGATTTTGCAAAAAAAGTAATTTGCAAATTGGTGCACACCTATGGTTTAGTTTTCCCAGGACGAACTTCAGTGGCAGAGTGGGCCTTAAACATACCGCAACCGTCTAAGGAAATAAACAACTAACAACGTGTGTCTTGTGTTTCAGCACATAGGAGACTAGCCAGCGAGGTAACGAAACCTCGGTACTCCAAAGAAGCCAGAAGGCTTACGCAACCTTTCAAATTTCCGCAGTATTGAATGCTGACTGTCACTAGGCACAAATACTGGGATAATTTTCGGGACAAATAGGCCTTCAGAGTATGCCACTTCTTAGATAATGAAACATTTCTTATCATTCATGGGATGCTGGGCCAGCATCTATCCAGTGCTCTTGTGTACCAGCTTACCGGCACACAACTGGTTAAATCACATACAAACATGGTTTATTGCTGACATTCCCGGGTAACGCTACTCTGTTTCTGGTTTGTGACATAGTGACTGGTCAAGAAGTGTACCTGGGAACCAAAAGTTCATCTTCAGTGTCAATAAGTCAATAGTTTCACCTAAACTGTGGTTCGGGTGCTCAAAAAACCCCTTGGGAAATTCTACTTAGGCAGCGTCCTACATCTTACCACTTCCTGGTGACATGGCTGTCAGTAAGAATAGTGAGAAACAGCGCAGAAAGTCAACTTTCTTGACTGCTAGCTCTTTATGAGCGCCTCCAATGCACTCCACACAAAAATCGAAATCCTACAGAAACCAAACATTGGGTGATTCATTTCAGAGGAGACATGACGTCAGTTAGATAAAACAGAATTGAAAATGTAACAGTCAGGGGCAGAATTTAGGTCCCAGCCGGACACCAGCATACACAACATCACACTTCTGAGCTCATCGCCCGTGAAAAAACTTCTAACAAACTTATTCTGTCAAGCGACAGATGATGTGAAGCCATCCACGCACAGAACGTTAACAGTAATTTTGATTCCGTAGCATGGCCTGGCAAATTTCGGTCCATCGAACAACCTTATTTGATCCGGAGGTAAATGAATTATTCTATCCTTTGGACAGCTACTTAAAAAAGCATATTATGCTGAAGGGGTCATTTGCCAACAACCTGCTCAAAAGTCTGCACTCAAAATTCAAACAGGCCACATTAAAATATGACATTCAAATCGTTGAGAGTATAAATGAAAGAACACGAATAAAAATCATGTACCATTTATCAGCCTAGATAAATATTAAGAAGACCCGGATGTTTCTCTGTAAATCCTATTTGTGGAGCATTGTATATACTCCGAAAACTCTCCAAATTCTCTTTCAGCCTAACTTGTACAAACCGAGTTTTTGTTCACAAACTCACCTTTTCCAGCATTGCAGCCGCAATGTTGATGAGTACAAATAATTCAACTGGAAAGGTTGCCTAAGCAAAGTCTGGGAACCAGACCAGATAGCGGCTTTCCTTAGCAAGTATTTCACCAGGTAATGATCAGGTTTCGAACACCCTTCTGTACTAGATTCAGTTATTTAGCGGCTTAGATCGCTAGACATTAAATATGTCCTCCGAATTTTGATCACTCATTTAATCGAGTTTCGAGCTCATTTCTGCCTCTCGCCTGTGCTTACTCACTGGTGAATACTTTGAGCAAACTGTCCTAGTGTCCCGGGCGACTTTATCCCTCGTAAGTTCTCGAGTTAAAATAGAAGGGAATTACCTATCTTGCATGAGGTTTTGAAGATCACACTAGAAGTTTCGCGGCTATGGATAGTTACATTCAAACATGAACTATGTATCCGATCAGCTGGGCCCATCGCTATCTACTGATCCAGGCTTCCACGGACAGAGCATGCGCAAGATTTCTCAACCAATGAAATTTCACGCCAATCATGACAAGGCTGTTAAACGCATGGGAAATATTTGAATTATTGTGCACTCATGTTTAAAGTACTGATTGTGACATCATTTAATTTCTTAAGAAACGGGCACCGGTCCAAGTTTTGGTATACAAATATTATTGAAGTCCTCGGGGAACTTTACTGCGGTGAATAGCCGTTCTGTGGTGAACTCTGCAGGCAAGAAGACAATTGCTGTCCATTTTGAATGTCAATATTTTTAGCTACTTAAATACCGCCAGTAGCAGTTAGTTTTCGGAATTCTCATGGGGCACTGTGGTTGTGGCCTCAGGTATCAGAGAAATTACAACTAACATGATGAGATACGGTGAGTATTCTGTAT